AATTAATAATCGATACTTGGCATCAAGAATCGATGCAGTAGATCACAAAAATTACAATCACGATGCATCATCATGACGATTATTTTGCACACCCCTAACCTCAAACCATCTGAAAATGTCTGTCGCTACTCGACAGCGGTGACAAATAACAAGGATTGCGCAGGCACCATGCGGGGAGGCTCAGCTACGTGACCTACAGGTAGTGAAAAGTAGTGATCATCTGTCCAAACCATTAGTTAACTGAGTTCACTATAAAGTCCACTATATAGTCCCTGCTCTATATAGTGATTGAGGGATGAGGCCAGACGTTCGGACACAGCTTTTGTCTGTTCTCTGTCTTAAGTTGTTGTGAATAGGGATAGTGCTGGGGCTGAAGATGATGATGTTTTAGGAGCACATGAGAACGCACAAGTACACATGTTGAAAAACGGCCACTGCCTCTGCAGTAAACACCAAGCATGCATGCAGCGACAGTGGATAGGAAAAACTCTGGAGGTTCAAGGAGACAGAAGCAGAGGAACAAAAAACACAATGATCTATAGATACCTCATGTTAGAAAAGGTAACAGTAAACAGGTGTCTCTGTCCGGGAAAGAAACGGTTAAACAGACGAGTCCTGAGCCAGTTTTAATGTCAAAAGAGATGAGAGAACATCCAGTTCGTCACAGTAAAAGCTGAGCCCAGAGATAAGTCTAGGAGGAAAACAGGACTAAGCACTGAAAAACATCAACTGGCCAAACCTAGGCTGACCTCCAAGTATTCACCTATCAGACTACTTAAAATACACTAAAGATCTTTAAAAAAAAAAAAAAAAGCTGTCGCCCTTCATCTGTTTATGAAACCATTTCTATGGTTCTGAGACTCCAGAGAAACATGTTTCGAACGTCATGGAGAACCATAGCAGACCATCCAGAGACCAACTTGTCAAAATCAAACCTCTGGGTTTCCTCCTCATGAGCTCCATTAGTCCATTAGTCACAGCCCATTTCTGAGCATGAATGTGTCTGCATAATGTCCTCCTCATAAGAAGGCTTAGAAATCAGAAACACTTGACTCGCCTCCCATCCAGACCCTAAGATACTCCAAGTAAACTAGTTTGGTATTCTCTAATTTAAGGACACTTGAGTCCATAAAAAGGAGGATTTTAGCATCTTTCTTAGTAAGAACAATTGCTATTAAACAAAAATATATTTATTCATGTTGCTCACTGTTCATTAGGCCTTCAAAGAAAGCCTGCTTGTAATGCAGCTTCTCTTTACATATAGAGAAGAAATGAGCTGGATCAAACTAACATGTTCTGACCCGTTGTTTATCTGCAGGATTCTGCTGTATTTCTTTAAAGTTCTTATTCCTCCAATTCTTCTTTCTAAAAGCCCATTATCTTCCCTTTCCTGGCCTAATATATTCCTGTCTAAAGTGATAATATGAACGCTACCAACCTTTTTTGAAGTATAACTCTTCGTCTGTGGATGTGCCATAAGCCCCATGTTTGGCTGCAGCTCAGGTTTTCAGTCTGTTTCTATGTTTTCTCCTCAGCTATAACCTGTTGGACTCCAAAATCAACACGGTGCTGTCCATGTGCCAAGACATCAACCTCCTGAACCCTGTGCATGGGATTGTGCAGAGCGTGGTGTACCACGAGGAGTCCCCTCCTCAGTACCAGCCCTCATATTTACAAAGTATGACGTCTTTTCTGCTTTGCACTTTGAGATGATGCCATCTGTAGTAAAGTGGAGCTTTCACCTCCTCCTAATGGCTTCCTATCTCTTAATGATCTTCTTTTCTCAGGCTTTGGCTTTAATGGACTCTGGAGATTTGCTGGACCTTTTTCTAAGGTATGGAAATAACCTCAGCTAGTGCTTACTGCTGTAGCAATAAATGAAGGACAAATACTCGTCAAAGTATGTAGATTCTCCACATTAAAGATATTAGTGACTAAAATTCTATTCAGTTTATTTCTAAAGTGCCAATTCACAACACATGTCAT